AATTCCAAAACTTAGACGGAACATAAGCGCGACTCAAGATAGTTAAACCTGTTTCAACAATATGTCTATGCTTTCTTTCAACACGTCATTTTGTTCATAAGTATATGCACATGATTGTCTATGGATGATCACTAATTGAACAAAGGAAGAATGTAACTTTTTATATTCAGCTCCTAGATCATACTGTATGGATTTAATCTTTCGATTAAAGAAATGTTCAATCACAATACGAAACTTATCAAATATGGCATAAAGATCATATTTTAATTTCATGGGGAAATGTCGAGTATCCTCATCTTATGCTACATAAATCCCCTTCCACCATATTCTTTTCTTCGTATCTTTGGTTGTCTATGTTATCCATACTTACGACCATACAATCGTCACAAAATATCCTACAAGTCCTCTCCTTGTGTTTTCTTTGATTATCCTGAGTCTTTCTGGGCGTATATGTATGCAGACATGTACGGTTTGATGAGGAGGTCTTTCCTTTTGCTACTAAAAATATTTTGCAGGCACCTTTGGCTTCGCAGAACCAGTCGTGGGCCAAGTCTATTCTTCACCCACATAATGTCGTGGCGCCCGTACCGGTTCAGATAGATCAGCCCGAGCCGGCTCCACCGGCGACAGCCACGTGGGCGGTCTACGAGGCCTATCACTCGTTCCCATGCCATGGCCACTCGGTGTCAGCCTCAAGCTCCACCTACAGTTCTGACTGCTTAGGTTTGTCCCACAGAACCCACGTGTTATACATATGCGGTTAAATATCCTGAATGCCGCAAGGCAATGGATCAAGAGTTTAATGCTCTTCTTCAGAATGAGACATGGTGCCTTGTTCCGTTTCAAGCTAAAGGGTTCAATCAAGTACTTAGACAAGATTTTTTTGACACATTCAGCCCAGTGGTAAAACCCACTACTGTCAAGTTACTTCTATCTTTAGCTATATCTTCTGGTTGGATTATTAGACAGCTTGATGTTCATAATGCCTTTTTAAATGGGAAGTTATCTGAAACTGTCTATATGCGACAACCTCCTATTTATATTGATACTCAGTTTCCTGATCATGTCTGTCTCTTGAAACATTCTTTATGTGTTAAAATAGGCTCCTAGAGCTTTTTTTCGAAATGGGGATCTTGGGGGTGGGAAAAAAAAAAAAAGACTCTGGAGCTGCTTGGGCAGAATAGGCTCCTAGAGCTTAGTTTAATCGTCTGCATACGTTTCTTATGTCAGTTGGTTTTAAAGCTTCGAAAACGGATGTGTCTCTATTTTATTATTCACAAAATTATACTTTTGTGTATGTTTTGGTTTACGTTGATGCTACACTTGTGATGGGAAGTGATCAGAATCTAGTGATTGTGCTACTGACAAAATTATCAATTGCATTCAAGATTAGGAATCTTGGTGAGCCTGTCTTTTTTCCTTTGAATTGAAACTATTAAATGTGATGATGGAATTTTACTTTCCCAGCAGAGATACATGACAAATATTTTGAAACGTGCTGGTATGACAGACTGTAAACCCTTAGCTACTCCTATACTTGTCTTGAAATCTACCTCTTTCAGTGCAGACTTGTATGATGATGCTACACATTATAGGAGTTTAGCTGGAGCTTTACAGTATCTCACAGTCACATGTCCAGATTTATCTATTGCAGTCAATAAACTCTGTCAACATATGCATGCTCCTACAGTCTCACATTGGGAATAATTGAGGCGTGTACTGATGTATGTTAAGGGAACTATTACTTATGGTTTGCGTATAAGGAAATCAGTGTCTAGAGAGTTGCATGCTTTTTCTAATTCTGATTGGGTTAGCTGTCTTGAGGACGGTAAGTCAACTAGTGGTTATGCTTTATTTCTTGGATCCGATCTTGTATCTTGGGTGTGTAAGAAACTAAGAACTGTTGGTAGATCTTCTACTGAGGCTGAGTATAAAGCTCTAGCAGATGTCTGTGTTGAAGTAATCTGGATTTATACTGCTGCGTGAGATTCATGTTCCTAATATTTCTGTGCCCAAGTTGTAGTGTGATAATCTTGATGCTATATACATGTGTGCAAATCCAATCTTCCATGCTCGCACTAAACATATGGAGATTAATTATCACTTTGTTAGAGACAGAGTTGCTAATGGAGATATTCAAGTCAAGTTTATTTCAACTAAAGATCAACTTGCGAATATTTTTACTAAGGCTCTACCTGATCAATTTTTTTTTTTTTTCACTAGCTTACCCTGTATTTAAGGAAATATTAAGACTATGTATTTGAATTAGATTATGACTCCGATTCTTTCTTCTTTTTTATTTTTTTATTTTTTTATATACACTTGTAATTTGTATCTTTGTAATTATGAAAAAGTGTCAAATTAGCCTCATAAGTCAATCAGATAGTGCAATTAGGCCCCCTAAGTAAAAAAGGTTCCAATCAAACTCCCTAAACCGGTAAAATCATTCAATTGAGTCCAAATTAACTTGTTTAGCAGGTTAGTACTTCTCAGATTTTGCCACGTGTTCTGTAAATTTTTTTTTTTTGTTAAAAAAAAAAACATTTTTATGTTTTTTAAAAGTTTTAAGCTTCTGGGTCTTATTTTGCAGAAGAAAACGATTGTTGTGTTGGTGTTTACCTCAATCCCTGTTGCGTCTAATACAGAGAGAATAATAATCCTTCATTCTATATTTTCTCCATGTTCTTGTTGCCCAATACTTTGCTTTATCTCCGCTCTTAGTCTGTAACGATGCCGCTTAGGTACTGCGCCACATTGGCCATCCTCGTATATATTCCGATCAACTACTTCCTTTTCAATCTGGGAATCAAAGGCGTGGCGATGAGCAGCATTTGTTGTAATTTCAATACAATTGTACAATTCTCATCAAAGGAGTAGAAGAAAAGTGAGTCTTGGCAGGGGTTGGGATTCAACCTTTTGGAAGAAGAGAAAAGTGAGTCTTTCAGAGTTTATATTCAATTTTCATGTTCTCATTTTTAGTTTTAATTAAGTTTCTTAGATCTACTGATCATGATTAAAAAAATTTTTCCTAGTTTTCTCTTGGTGATCATTCCTGCTGTAGATATGGCTAGAATTATTGTTATTATTCTGGTTGCTTGTATATTAATCCAAATTTTTCTGTTGTACTCAGGCATTACTGCACTCCTCACACATGTACCATGAAGCTACACACTCATTTGCCAACCATGGTGTGAAGTTTTCTTCTGTTGAGGTTGATTTACCTGCCATGATGGCTCAAAAAGATAAAGCTGTGTCTAACTTAACAAAAGGTATTGAGGGTCTATTGAAAAAGAACAAAGTGAACTATGTCAAGGGATATGGTAAGTTCCTCTCACCTACAGAAATTACGGTGGACACTATTGAAGGAGGTGAAACTGTTGTGAAAGGGAAAAATATTATAATTGCCACTGGTTCTGATGTCAAAGGTCTTCCTGGGATAACCATTGATGAGGAAAGAATTGTATCATCTACTGGCGCTTTAGCGTTAAAGGAAATTCCTAAGAAGCTAGTGGTTATTGGAGCTGGGTATATTGGACTGGAAATGGGGTGGTCTGTCTGGGGCCGACTTGGCTCAGAGGTCACTGTTGTTGAATTTGCAGCTGATATTGTTCCTAGCATGGATGGTGAAGTTCGCAAACAGTTTCAACGTACCCTTGAGAAGCAGAAGATGAAATTTATGCTTAAAACTAAGGTGGTCTCAGTTGACAGTTCAGGTGATGGTGTTAAGTTGACACTTGAACCGGCAGGTGGTGGTGATCAGACTGTTATTGAAGCTGATGTTGTTCTTGTTTCTGCTGGTAGAACTCCATTTACTGCCGGGCTTGAATTGGACAAAATAGGAGTTGAAACTGACAAGATTGGTAGAATCTTGGTTAATGAACGGTTTGCCACTAGCGTACCCGGGGTCTATGCCATAGGTGATGTTATTCCCGGTCCCGGGCCTATGTTGGCTCACAAGGCAGAGGAAGATGGTGTGGCATGTGTGGAATTCATTGCAGGCAAGGAAGGGCACGTGGACTATGATATGGTTCCCGGGGTTGTGTACACACACCCTGAGGTGGCCTCGGTTGGAAAAACCGAGGAACAAGTGAAGGCACTTGGAGTCGATTATCGTGTTGGGAAGTTCCCTTTCATGGCAAACAGCAGGGCCAAGGCAATTGATGATGCTGAGGGACTAGTGAAGATCCTCGCTGAGAAGGGAACCGACAAAATATTGGGCGTCCACATCATGGCACCAAATGCGGGAGAGCTCATCCACGAGGCCGTGCTGGCATTGCAGTATGGAGCATCCAGCGAGGACATCGCTCGTACATGTCATGCCCATCCAACAATGAGTGAGGCTCTTAAAGAAGCTGCCATGGCCACTTATGACAAGCCAATTCACATTTAGACCGTTTCCAACCAAATTTGGAGGAAAAGATGGCGGACCAATGCGCCATTGCACCAAATATTTTGTTAGTACATACATTAATGCTCAATTCTTTTTGTGGAGTCTGCTTGAATTGTGCATTTTAGAAGGAAATTTACTTGCAATCCTGCTTCAGTCTTGAGATTATTGGAATTTGGTGCATTTTCCACTTGTGGTTTGTGTGTTTTGTAAAATGATTTTACATTTAAAGAACCAAAAAAATGTTAAGTCTACAAAATTGCAAGAAGCTACAGGCTACAATGATAAATATTTTGAGCTATCAAAAGCCTGAAGTATAACAAACAAGTATACTACCCTTGTTTTACAACTGAAGTATTCTACACACCTTTATCTTCATCTCAAAAGCCTGAAAAGTTCATCTATTCACAGGGCATTGTGTTTTTGGGTAATGCCCCACGAGGGCATCCACCGCCCTTGCCCTGGAGCCTTGTGGAGGAGGTAAATTGCAGGATGTGAATCGAACTCGTGACCTCACTGGGGCACCTTTTTTTTTTTTTGTTATCCAAAGGTATTCCTCCAACCGATAGTCAGAAGAATAATCTCCCGTCCCTACTGTCAGCACACTCGTGACCTCACTGGGGCACTGCCATCAGCAGGTTCACTTTTTGCCACTGCGCCATATGCCCCGGGGGCATAGGGCATTGTATTGTTAGAGGGAGGGAGGGAGCTAACGATTGATGTCGTTGGGTAGCAAGAAAAGGGAATACACGGGCCTGTGATCTGAGAACTTGGATTCGCCCCGAACATAACAAATCTGCTTTAATCCTTCCCCTTTCCATAGAATCCTATCACACCTGACAAACATAATAACATGTTTGTGAAAATTTATAAGGCAAGAAGTGGGGCATGTTTTGTAGCACACATTATTAACTTATTACCAGGCAGGAGTCCTTTGTTTTTGCTTGGAGGGAGCAGAGGTTTGGACAACATAATGTTCAGAATTGGAGAGGTACTTGTATGTTGGAGGGAAATATATCCTGCCTTCCTTCCAACCTTTGAACACACGGCCCGCCTTTCGTTCCATCTTCAACTGATCTTTCTCCAGAAGTGCTTGCCAATCACTCTTTTTTAGCAGCTCAAATGTGTCCTCCTCACTGCCCGATGCAAGCCGGTAGTTTAAATCCCCAAGCCAAATGATCTTGCTACATACACACAAAACCCGAGTGTCAGAAACCGAATGCAATATAGTTGTTACAACGCTAAAAACCAAAACGCTTACTCGTGATCCAAGATTTTATCAGGATGATGATGAGGAGGAGATGATTGTCTTCCCATTCTATTCAAATGATTAAACCTCGTTCTTCTCAGGATTTCCATTACGTCTAAATTTCTTCTGACCTCGTCGCCCTCTTTCTCCCCCGAGGCCAAGTGGGTGCACACAAAGCAAAATGTTGTTTGGTGCAATGTCATGCTGATTGAGATTGATCCCTGCAATCATATCATTCCATCATTTCCATATGTAATAATGACAACCAATGTTGCAGAATGCACTAGATGCTAGTAGGGCGCCGCCTAATTTTTGCCTAGCTGGCCAGTCGACTAGCAACTGCCTATACCCTTTTTTGCTTAGGCTGATTTTTACAACACTGATTACAACTATACTGATATCTTACCTTATTTCCGAGATATCCCATGATACCTCTGCCAACACATGAAACCTTTAGATTTTGTATATGTTGATGCAAGTCAGCAAGTACCCAAATGCATAGGAACAATCCCACCATTTGCTTGCTTGCCACTAGGCAATATTGGTTTTGTTTTGTGCAATTGGGACTGGGTGAAACTTGGTCCCTAGAGAAAGAAACCGAGTTGGTGCTAACAAATCTCTCAAAATCATCATCTTCTTCTTCAAGTTCATCTTCTAATGAGATCAAATCCGAGCAGTTGACTCTTTGCTGGATGACATTGTGGATAGGAGGAGGAGGAGAAGCATTTGAGTCGGTTGTGGCATTATTCAATGTTTCTCGAATCAAAGACAGCCACTTGGCAGCTGGACCGCTGTCCTCGGCCCCTAGCACATTGCCTGCATTTAGAGGGACAATTTCCTGGAACCTGGTTTCACCAAGCAGGGGTAAAATGTCAAAAATTGTTTTTTTTTTTTTTTTCAATTTCATTTCTGCCAGTCAAGGACTATAGGGGCATGCTAGGTTACTAGGGTAGGAGTTGACTTTGCAAAACCGATAAGATTGGAGTGGTTAGATCGTCAAAGTAACAATGTTGTAAACATCGGCCTAAGCAGTCGCTTAGGCGCCCCTAGGCCGAGACAAAAAGGGATTTAGTCAGTCAGAATTTTATTTTTTTAATTGTTTTTTTTTTGTTCAAAATGACTGTCGTGTTTTACCTATAGATTTAAAGAATAATAAATGTAACAAATTAAAGCAAGCAAGCATGCATACCCAAGGACATAGATGTGGGCAGGGAGAGAAGTGTTTAACCATTCCCTCAAGTCTGATCCATTGTATGGGGTCTTGCCTCCTACATTCCATGTTCCCACAAACATCCTATATACAAACATGGCAAAGTGTCATTAATTTTAAGTTGAGATAAAAAGCAATTTTCCAACCACTAATTTTTTTTGGAAAAAAAAAAGAAAAAAAAGAGCAATTTGCCAACCACTAATTTTAAAATGCTTGTTTCAGAGGTTAAATTACTTTGTATATAGTAGTCTTCTGTAAAACTTGTCTTATTTGAGATGCCTAATTTTTTTTTTACAACTCATATATAATTTAATTTTCTTCATGTTACAGAAGATTAGACTAAAGTCCATCCACCAAGACTATGTGATCTAATGGTACCCGGGTTAGACTTCCATTTGGAAGGTTGTGAGTTTGAGTCTGGCTGGAGGGGTTATTGGTTCTTTGTGCCTTAGTAGGCTGAGAGAGTATATGTCTCTACATTGTCATTGTCATAGAGTCGACTAAAGTCCATCCTATGGCATAAAATGATTTAACAATTTATAAAAAAAAAAATTAATATTTTTGTTGAAAATCACCAATAAAAATTATGAATAAAGAATATGAGATGGTTCTTGCCTCACCTGAGGTTCTTTGTTAAATGTGATCCCTCTTCCTCAAATCTTGGCTGTTCAATTCCATCACTAGTATTCATCAACCAACTTCCTGCAAACCAAATTCAAATTATTTATAATTCTTTTTATTATTTAATTTAACATCAATGAATAATATATATATTGAAATATTATCATTTACAATGTAATATCTGTTATGCTCCCACTGGGGTTTGATCCTGAGATCAAACATTTAAAATGACAATAGAGGTACCATCACACAACATAGTAGTTGGCAATAAATAAAATTTATATATTTAAACATTAAATTAAAAATTTATTAAATACAAAAATTAAATTTAAAATTATAAGACTAAATAAATAAAAAATAATTATATTTGACCCATAAATATTAATAGAATACGTAAAATATAATTCTAAACAACAAATATTTCACATCTCCCACTTTTTCAAAAATTAAAAGATAAAAAAAAGGACATTGTTGTTTTTTTTTTAACACCAGTTACACCACCAAACAACTAGGAAAAAAATCTTTACATAAATAATTTTTAGTAATTTTAGCAATTCATAAATAATTAATAAATATTAAAAATCATAAAATCAAGTTAGTCTGTATTAGCATTCAAAAAAAAAAGTTAGTCTGTATTAATTTGTATATAAATGTTTATATATAAATATCATTTTAAATTAACTCCTCATAAAATACAATAAAATAAAATAAATTATAGATGTAAATTAATGATCAATTATTAGCAATCAGAAACAGAACACCTAGACCTAGATCTAAGCCTAAAACATCATAGTTGGACCTCCACCAAACATATTAATATAAACCCCCAAACATATTAATATAAACCAATTATATTTTGCAATAATTATATATTTTTTAATTTAATTCCAATTCTTTTGAAGGTATGCATAGATTGTTTGAAAAATTACAACACAATATTTATTTTTTAAATACATTATATATCAAAATATTCATAATTTTTTTTCACACATGTCCAAATATTATAATCACCAATTAATACTTAAATTAGGATAATTAATTTATTTTAATGTTAGATACTATCAGAATCCCGATAAAAGTTAGATATTTTAATTGGATATATTATTTGTCACAAAATAAAAAAGTGTGTGTTTTTCACCCAGTTTTAAAAATTTGAATATAACTATCATAAACGTATAAAGATTCCGAGTTCTTTCACCAATAAGCTTAAAAATATATATATAATTATAAAAAAATTCAAAGATTAACAAAAAAAAAAAAAATTTTACTTGATAATTCTTCGGGCACGACGACGCAACCACCGTCGTCTGAGCAACTCTTCCTTCTCCTTTCACTCATACCTGTCACATCTGATTTCACATACAAATAAAAATTTAAAATACAAATAATTACACCTACATAATAAATATATCATACATATTGAATAAACTTTTAGAAAAAATAGGGTAAATAATAAAAATAAGAATTAATTTCACCTTTGGTTCCACAATTTTTAAGGTCTTATCACTTTTGATGCACAATTTTAATTTTTTTTTTTTTAATTTTAGTGCCTAATTTCATTAATTTTATAAGTTTTATTCTTTTTGTCCAAATTGACGGTGAAATGTTGCCGAATTTTATATTTTAGGGGCAAAATCGTCATCCCAATGAAAGATCTTCAATATTTAAACAAAAGAAAAATCATATTAAGAAAAAAAGAAAAGTTTTGCCAATCGTCGACACTATAAACACCATAGATTTGTGTCTAGTTTATGCCCGTCTTCCTATTATTCTCATCGATCAAACACCTATAGATATGATTTTACAGTGATTTTGTTAAGATATTTAAGATGTTTCCTTACGATTTCACCTCTAAAAATATAAAATCCGATAAAATTTCACCGTCAATTTAGCCGAAAGGATCAAAACTGATAAAAACAACAAAGTTAAACACCAAAATAAAAAATTTTAAAATTATGCACCAAAAGTTATAGAACCTCAAAAGTAATATAATTGGACCAAAAAGTGAAATTAATTCTAAAAATAAAAAACTTTTTTACCGTTTATAGTGTAGTCGGAATGAAATTCATCTGCACTGCTCGGTATATTCAACCATTTTCTTACAACCTGGAAATGTATCATTATACATACACACTCCATTCTCCATATATATGGATATGAATTAAGAAAAGGAAAAGTAGAAAGTTACAAACCTTTGAAATTTTACGAGGTTGTTTCATGGCGGCAGAGATTAGTCAATGGCGCTGACAATAGAGAGCTGATGAGAGAGAGAGAGAGAGATCTGGGTGGGATCAAAACATAAAGAGATAGGAATATACGATGAACGTAGAGGATAGATATTTCGTAATATTTTTATACGTAAATATGGGATTGGTTAGATTGAGGCTTGAAATAAGGCAACATGGTATTGTTTAAGGTACATTAAGTTTTCAACGATCATTATTATAACACCCATTTGCAGTGTATAATCAGACAGCCTCCTCAACTAGCAGCGTACACCAAAAGCAACGCAATTTCTTTCATACAAATTATAAAAATAAGTAAGTCAAATTTTCCTAATAGTACTCTCCGATAATTTTATATGTCTGGTTCGATTAACCACGTTTTATTAAAGTTTTTTTTAATTCAATTTTTTCATAATATTAAGTTTAATATTTGTATACAGAATTTATATATTTAAAAACTACACTAAAAACACTATTAAAATAAAAAAATTAATTTAATTAAAAAATTGAGCAAAAAAATAATTAGTTTAATTAATGCATAACAAACAGGACACACAAAATAAGACGGAGGGAGTGTATTAGGTTATTAACACTTTGAATTAGATTCATAGTTTTGTTAAAATCTTGATTGAATTTACATGGTAAAAACAGAGCATATATTATATTATGCAGGGCATTAAATTAATATTCTTTAGAGTTGTGAGATACGAGAAGACAGGTAGTAGCTTTTCCTTGATGATTGATGAATATATATAGAAGTAAAGCTGTGGACTTTACAGAATGGAGTGGAGAATTTAATAAAGAATAATAATATGTTGGATTTAAGAAAACCAGCTGGTAAATAAAAGTCAACTTTTTGAGTTCATTTCCCTTTTTGATATTTTTTTTGAAAAAAATCCCTTTTTGAGTTATTATTATATTTTTTATGGAGGTTAAAAAGCTACCCAGAAAATGATGAGTTCCAAGGAAGATGAAGAATGGGGGCATCAATGGCGGTTCAACATTCTTTCTTTCCAAAAAAAATAAAAACAAAAACTCTTAAAATGAAAAAGAGGAGAAGGCAAACTTACATGTAAAATATTAATGTTTGCCTTTTGGTGATCTTTCCTCTATCTCCCCTTTCACTTCTTCTAATCACACATATACATATATATATAGAGAGAGAGAGAGAGAGAGTGAGAGAGAGATGGCGGTGGTGGGTTAGATTAGGTGACTGTGATGGGGAAATATATAGATACAGATCTGTGTATGTATAGGTGGAGAGTGTAAGGGGCGAGGAAGTTTGGAGGCGTTCCTCGGAAAAGCAAGAAGAAGCAAATGGGTTGGGTATTCCGTATTTATAGACGCAATGATGGGAATATAAAGTTGCTTTGAAATTATTGGGTAATTACTTCCTAATGCAACTAATAATTCAACTTAAGACTTACCCCGTAATTTCCGTGTTAAGTTTTGGATTATAGTTGGGTGTTTCACAATTAGTTGATACTGATTCTGGATAGCTAATTATAAAATAAAAAATGTTTGATGAATTAACGGTTTAGTTTTAGCTGATTGTAGGTAAAATAATCTATAAGAATATAAATATATTATGCTAAATTCTTAACTCTTAAATTATTGTTACAATTATTATTATTAAGAAAGAAATAGTCATACATCTCTCTAAAACAACACTTTGAAGTAGTGTTTATTACTTTTATTCCTAGATCAGTGAATTGTTTGGCTCATGCCATGGCTAGAGCTAGTAGTTCGTCTACTAGTCTCAATATTTGGATTGATTCTGTTTCTTCTTGTATTGATTATTTGATATAATAAAAGTTTGAAGTTGTGGTTTTCAAAAAAAATAGTCATACATATGGAGATTGGAGAACAACAAGAGAGATATAAATGTTAAGGATAACAAAGGTAAAATGATCATTTCATAATTAAAGTCAAACAGTTAAGTGAAAACATTGCGGTCTTAGTTTTTCAGTTTTAAGCTTATTGCCTCAAATCTCAATAAGCTAATGCAATAAGCTATTTTATCAAATACTTAATAGTGTATTGACTAGTCAAATTAACAAAACTTGGTCAAATTAACCAAATTTTGACTTATTATCCATTTACCAAACACTACCAATGTAGTTTTTAATATTTAGTCATTTATTAAAATAATTTTTTTGAGGGTTAGTAATTTTAGTAAGAGAGTGGGCTACCTGATTAGCTGAAAAGTTAAAAAAAAAAATTTCAAAGTGTCACAATAAAGATAAATTAATTACTTCATGAAAAGTTTCAATGCATTAGTTTGATTATACTTCTTTTTTTTTTTTTTTTGCCAAGAATCTTGTGATCTAGTGACATTAAGTTGACATCTCATATGAGATGTTGTGGGTTTGAGCCTCGGTGGAGACAGTATTAACTCTTTGACCTTCAATACGTCAAGAAAGTAGTTATGAATCGATAGTGTAACAGATATTGCATTGTAATAGAGTCAGTAACACACAAAAATTACAATTTTTTTTAATATACTCTAACTTACCAGATCTCGTACTTGAAACATTTCTTTAGATAACAGTGATACCTGTCATTAGACCACAAAAAATATTTTCTAAAATATTGTTTTTTTTTTTTTAACTTTCGAATATGATGATTAACTATTGGTCACTAAAATCTCTACTTATGGCAGTTTTTTGCTTGCCATTGCCCATTGGGGGAATAAAGTTACGAAAATGGTTTCATATTGCGTAAACAAGGAGAGTTGTTCTGGGCTGCTAAGTGCTAGTTAGCATTTATCAGTCACACTGTCACAGTAATAAATTAAAAAGCAACTTCCACTTTTACCTATATCATCATGTACTCCGTATTTATTTCTATTAATGGCTTTACTAAAAATATTACTCAGTAAAAATAATATCACTTCACTAAAAATCAGATACTATCTTTTTCCCAAAAAAAAATAATAATAATAATTAAAAAAATCAGATACTATCAAAATACCATGTCAGAAATTTGTAGTCAAGTTGTATATAATCTATAACTCAACAGTTTGAGGCGATTTGTGAACACTACACATACTAAATTGAAATTAATCTCACAGTATTTATGATCGATACTTGGGCGTTGTTTGGTAACATACTAACATAGTTAGTTTATCAGTTAATTTTAGCTTATTTGATCACTATTAACTATTTGACTTGGTTAAACAATCAATATAAATGTTTCATTAATTCGTTTTTTGTAACAGCTTATTGCTCTAAAATGCTAAAATTCAAAAAATTGTTCAAAGTAGTTTTCTCTATCAACTTTTTGAGAAAGTCATTTTGTATATAATCAGCTAACAACCAATTTACCAAACATCTTCTAATGCTATCAGCTAGTCAAGCTCACAGGCCCAATCAACTAACAGTTAACAGCTATTTACCAAACACCTCTTGATGTTATATGTAAAAGTGGTATAATATGTCATTTTAGTCAAAAGTTACAAAATTTGTCACTAACACGTACTTGAGAGTTGAGAGTTGAGAAGTGTAGGCATAAATATGTTAAAATGTTTCATAATGTATGGGTTGGTTCATAAATTAAACGGAGTGGAGTTATGTAAGGAAACTATAGCAATTGAATGGGGAAATAAATATAAAAATTGGGGAACAAAGAAAGTGCAGCCGTATTAATGGATTCAGCAAATTGGAGTGTTCCTTTTGCATACGACACATATTGTAAGATTCGTATTGGAGTCATTGGCAAAGCAATTAAAATTTAACAAACCTTTGAACCACACATGGCATCCAATCAAATTATAAAAGTTTTGGTTGAATATAAAATAATAAATGTAAGGGAAAGTAAAAAAAATAATAATAATAATAAAATCACTAGTATATATATAAGCACTATATTTTCTTTAAAAATATGTTGTTAGAAGGCTCACACTCCCACGTGTAGAGAATGCAAATTAAATCTCAAAATGAATTTAAAATAATTTAACTTGTGTGCATCCGCTACTTGCGTATACACAAATATTGTCCATAAATTGATAGTCAATGTGGGCTAATTTATGCTAATTCAAATATATTTTTCGCCTGAGAAGTGACCTCTCGGACTCTCGGTCGATATCGAGAAGTGCACTTCTTGAGACACACCTTACGATTTTGTACTTTTCGATGGCTTTACAGTTAGCATCTTTCGGTTGCACCTCTCAAGTGTAACATTTTAGAAATGTGTTAACTCTTATCAATTTAGGAATTAATTATAATTAATTTCAATTTAATTATGAAAATTAACTTTGTAACACCAAGTGTTATTTCCATTAATGATGAGTAGCTTGGGGATTACAATATGATTATTTAAATGCCATGTTAATCTTTTTTAAATGTTATTATTTCCATGATCTCCTACAAAAAGCATGATGTTGGGCAGATAGTTTACGAACACTGAAAAATTTTGTTTTCTTACTCAAACAGTACTGTCCATATATATTCTCTCAAAGCTTCTGTCCACACCATCCTAAAACTTCAAGTGTTCAACATGTCATTCTAGTTCACAAATAGTAATATAGCTTGAATGTTCAACTATATTGTTGTAGTTCATTTTATCCTGTAAAACTGACGCTATAATGCTCCTAGCACCCTCGGAAGGTAGTGAATAAGTTTTAAGGAAAATCTGTTACACACAATATGATTTGGACTTTCCCTTCTTCTTCCCATGATCCGTACTATTGTTGTTCATGAGATAACTTTCTTATTTTAATCTCAATCGCCGTATTTAATTTGTTTTCCCGATAATTTTTTTGGACATATTTACTAACACTACAACTCTCCAAACTTTTTGGGTTATATTCGTTCAAAGGTACCGATGTTGGTAGGTATCTTAGAATTTCTCATAAATATAATTTTCATAACAATTTATATAATATCATGAATTATAATATTGTAGATATATATATGCAACTTGCTTTTGTCAAGTTGTACTTTTTCCAATGTACCTCTAAAAAAAAATGTGAATACTATGCAAAGTTACACAACATTATAATTTATGACATTGAAAAGTTACTCTAATTTTTATTTAATTTAAATATTTAGTTATAATAGAAGATATCTTTCAATTTGATATCTACATACATAACCTTTTTTTTTTTTTTTTCATTTGTCTCAAAAATATTATTGAATCATTATGCGTTCCATATGTCATAACAAAGTTTAGTGCATGTTGTCACGGACTTATTTCCCCTCACTAGTCACGTGCGGTCTTAGCTATTTTTCCCCTCTAAATAGCCAAGTCAGCCTCTCGTTCGACCCTCGAAAAGTATGCTAAGTAATCGTGATGGCTAGGAAAATAAATAGGCAAGAATATCGCAAAAGTACTTGAGAGCTTTATTGATTCATTCTTTGGATTCCTACTTGAATGCCTCCTTGGATTCCTACTTGGATTCCCTTGGATGGTTTACAAATGAGCCCCTTGTGGGGTATTTATACTACTCCACCTCCTCATGAGGAACTCTCTAGAATCCTCCAAAATTCCCTACACAAGTGGGAGGATTCCATAATATTCTAGAACATTCTATACATCCCTACACAACTATGAGTATTCTATATGGTTTTAGAATATTCTAAAGCATCCCTACTTCTTCTAGTGCTATCTATATGCCTCCAAACTATTCTACCAACTATGGGATGCTACGTATAAGAGCTAGAAAATTTCGGAAATGCGTAGCAACCCCCGGAACCTCGTAGTAACGTTGTCTGCGCGTTACATCCTCCCCCACCTAATTCGGCGACTCCCTCGTTGCCATATGTGCCTCTAAACGTCTTGGTATTGCCATAAGTCTTCCTCGGGCTCCCATGATGCTCCGGACTTGGGAAATTCCCTCTATTTGGTACGGTAGTGCTCTTGATGTGGATCTCCCCTTTTGCGGACTTTCGTTGTGTGCACCTTTTTATTCCTTGGTTGAAGGACTTAGATGCCACGAGTGGTGCTCTTCGTGATAACCCACGACTTTGATTTCCCACGGCCTCATGGTGCGGCTTATACTCTAGTGGCCTCCTCTTCTTTTCCACCCAAGCGTTGGATTTTCCCTCCTTGGCTCCTTCCACGACTTGCAAGGTTGATAGTCGTTGTGCCCCCTCTACTTGCCTCTTGGGAGCTTCGATGGTTGGGATCATACACGTGGACCCTTTTTCCGAAATGCAT